AGTCAAACCTGTGTATAGCTACCACCCAAGGTACAGTTAAACCTGTGTATAGTGACTACCCAAGGTACAGTTAAACCTGTGTGTAGCGACTACCCAAGGTACAGTTAAACCTGTGTGTAGCGACTACCCAAGGGACAGTCAAACCTGTGTATAGCGACTACCCAAGGTACAGTTAAACCTGTGTATAGTGACTACCCAAGGTACAGTTAAACCTGTGTATAGTGACTACCCAAGGTACAGTCAAACCTGTGTATAGTGACTACCCAAGGTACAGTTAAACCTGTGTGTAGCGACTACCCAAGGTAGTTAAACCTGTGTGTAGCGACTACCCAAGGTACAGTTAAACTTGTGTATAGCGACTACCCAAGGTACAGTTAAACCTGTGTGTAGCGACTACCCAAGGGACAATCAAACCTGTGTGTAGCGACTACCCAAGGTACAGTCAAACCTGTGTATAGCGACTACCCAAGGTACAGTCAAACCTGTGTATAGTGACTACCCAAGGTACAGTTAAACCTGTGTGTAGCGACTACCCAAGGTACAGTTAAACCTGTGTGTAGCGACTACCCAAGGGACAGTCAAACCTGTGTATAGCGACTACCCAAGGTACAGTTAAACCTGTGTATAGTGACTACCCAAGGTACAGTTAAACCTGTGTATAGCGACTACCCAAGGTACAGTCAAACCTGTGTATAGTGACTACCCAAGGTACAGTTAAACCTGTGTGTAGCGACTACCCAAGGTACAGTTAAACCTGTGTGTAGCGACTACCCAAGGTACAGTTAAACCTGTGTGTAGCGACTACCCAGGGTACAGTCAAATCTGTGTATAGCTACCACCCAAGGTACAGTTAAACTTGTGTATAGTGACTACCCAAGGTACAGTTAAACCTGTGTGTAGCGACTACCCAAGGTACAGTTAAACCTGTGTATAGTGACTACCCAAGGGACAGTCAAACCTGTGTATAGCAACCATCCAAGGTACAGTCAAACCTGTGTATAGTGACCACCCAAGGTACAGTTAAACCTGTGTATAGTGATCACTCAAGGTACAGTCAAACCTGTGTATAGTGACCACCCAAGGTACAGTTAAACCTGTGTATAGTGACCACCTAAGGGACTTCATTAAAATGGTCTTTATAGACAGGTGGCCTTTATATGAAGGTTGCTCATATGTTACATCTTGGGACTGCATAAAAGTCACTATAGAAGTTGTTCTTTATATAGAGGTGATCACTGACACAGTAACAAGCAGTTTATTGGTAATAACAACTACTACATTCTAATCATTTCTACTACTTACTTTATCTGGTTGTTTGACATAATTAAGTCTTGTATAATTTCTTGTCTTCTGTCATTATCATGAATCAGACTCATCAGATTCTCACGTATTAATCTGGCCACACTTGATTCAAATACGACAATATCTGAAAAATATAATACTTTATCATTACAAAACCCTGTAACTGTGACCAAGCAGGACACATAATTTTGACAATTGTTGACAAATGGTTTTTAGCAGATTCATTAAAGCGAGGGAATTGTCACCTGCGCATACGGCAGCCGGCCATAGCGTGTAATTGTATACAAACAAGTGTCTATGAAGCTTTGCGTTTTTAGCGTGTGTTGTTATCGTAGCTTGGGACTCAATTCCTGTATGTGTGCTGGTGACGACCCTTCCACTTTAAAACTGGTCGCTATTACACTGTAACCTCGCTATAACGAACTCTTTTATAACGAACTTCCGGATATAACGAACACACTGTATGTCCCCCACATATTAATGAGGAAACAGGTTACATGTACTTGTAACGACGCCGGCAAATCCGGACGTCACTCAGCTGTCAGTAGTATTCTTTTTACATCATTATTCTTTTGTTTATGCTTCTTTTAGAATATATTCACACCTTTCCGTTTTCATGTTGGTGCAGTGCCGACGTGTTTGCTTTCAAAGAGGCAGACTATCACACCTCATTGTCAGCGCCATTTTGCACTTTTCGTCGGTATACTTTATAGTGATTCACTACAAACTGGTAGTCGGCATAGAATATTTGGAACAGTAAAGACAATCGCAAGAATGAAACACTTTTTGAAATGCAAAAACAAAGACTTGTGACTCACGCTCTTAACAGAATCTTGGTAGTTATTTGCATTTACAGTCAGACGGTAACTTAACAAATAGCTCACTTTAAATTTCTCTAAACTGAACAGAGTTGAATTATTTATGACAACAATGCACATTTTTAGAATTATGTTTTTATAGAAAGACCATGCCAGCTAGTTACACTCAGACTGTACTGTATGGTGTAATGAAGTAATGAAGACTTACCTGCAATATCTGAGATTCTATTTGGATCCGTCAGGGTAATCGTTGGTAAACCATGCTGTCGTAGAAGTTTATTTACCCCACTCCACTCGTCAAAATCAAACTAGAATGAAAGAATATTAGTTAAAAATATAAGAATATCATAAACAATAATTTCTCATCTAAAGAATTCTATACATAATACTGTATACATGTGTAATTCCGCTGAATATTATTTTCGAAATTTTTTCTCATAGAGGTACATAGGTTTCTCACTGTATTTTATACACATTCCTTTTCAGACTAGCCCAATCGTGGCAATTTTATAAATTTTTTTTTTAATTTTGGTTCGTTGCGAAATTACCACAAGTGGTCAATTCTGTGGCGTTTTCATTGCTATTAATTATTCATGATATGCAGTGAAGTTATGGAACCTGGGCGTGGAACACTTCCAAAAGAGGAAAGTAGATGTGAGCTTGTGCAAATGATTCTACATGTCAAGTCACATGTGCATTATAGTTGTGTAGAACAGATCAAACCAAAAGCTGCCTTTCTTATTGGCTAGCGGCTCACAATTCATGCTATTCATTAGCATATTCATTCCCTCATAAACGCTGTGACAACTATAGAGGGGGCTGCAGAACAGACCAGTCAGGGAACTTTTGCGTCAATGTGAAAGATTCTACAAACTTGTGTGTTATAATTGTGTAGAACAGGTCAGATCTAAAGCTGCCTTCTCATTGGTTTACAGCTTCCAATTCATGCTACTCATTAGCATATTTATCACCTTAAAAAACATGATGAAAACTATAGAGTATGCGACAGAACATACGGGTAGTGCAGAGTAATCTACCAAAATGTGCAACATAGGTAAATAGGTAAGAATAAGTTGAAATTATTGATGACAATCATACTGGGGTTTTTAAAAGGCAAAGTCGGCTGTAAGCCAGCTTAGAAGTAACGCTGAATTAGTACTGTAGAACCATTAAAATATAGTAGTGTTTTTAAATTTGCAAAAATCATTAAATCATGATTAAAATAGGGGGAGCGATGACAGGTTGAAACAATAAATCAAC